TAAAGGTACTTATAGTGATGATATTCTTTATTCTCCTGTTGGTTCTTGTGAACTTGTAGGTATACAAGTAGTGATTGAGGAGGTGATGTAGAAAAAGCAAAAAATACTTCATAATATTGTTTTTAAATCGGTTCAAGAATTTTTTATTGGTCTTCAAAGAAATAACAAGTTATTGCCTTGTCTATCACTGAAATAGAGTATAATGAAGCCACCAGTAGTGCTACACAGGTAGTGTGGCTATGTCGTATGCTTTGATTTTTATAGCATGTACATAAATTTTTTTTAAAGATTTTCTATGATAACAAGTCAGCTATTATTTTGTCAAAGAATTCAGTTTTTCATGGAAGGACTAAACATATTCATGTGAAGTGTCATTATATTCGTGACTTAGTTATTGACGGCGAGATTGAGATCTTAGATTATCATTCAAAGGATCAAGTTATTGATATTTTTATCAAGCCACTTAAATCTCATGCGTTCATGAAGCTGAAGCAAATGATGGGGATGATCATGATTAAAGAGTTTGGTTCAAGAAAGGTTGTTGGAATTTGACCCAAATTTAGTGAGATAATCATAATTTTTAGTTGGTTTAGGAGTTCCTACTCCATGTGAGATTCTTACCAATTAGAATTATCATTTTATTAGAAGTATTTTGTTAGAAAAAGTGTTGTTTTAGAAGTATTTTATTAGAACTAAAATTGTTAAAGTTTTTATGTTATGTTAGTGGAGGCAGTCCGGTGTGTTAACGTGCTCCTCTTTTTTTTTTTTTTTTTTTCTTATTTTATTTTCTTAGATCTTTGATTAAATCTTTGTGTATGAGATTATTTTGAAATCTTATAATACGCGTAAACTGACCTGAATACTCTTGACCGTTACAAAAAAAAAAAAAATCTAACCCAACATTAATTATTCTTCTTCTGCAAAACAGAGGAGAAACCTATCAAGAACACGAAAAGAACTAATGCTCCAAAGTCAAATTTGATAACACGAAAAGAACTCATGCTCCAAAGAAAAATCGTACCTATATATATCTATCCTTCTTGGTGGTCATTGTTTTGATTGTCTTCATAAAGAAATTTCCACAAGCATGCAGATGTTTGTTAGAGAAAGACTTCCGGTTTCATCCACTCTATGACGTGGCATATTACAAGTTGAGTTAAATGTTCCTATCAACAATTATACAGATCAAATTGAATTTGAAACATCAATGATTTGCCAATCCTTGAACTATGACCCAATCCTTGACATTATGTAATAATCAAGAGTTATTTAAGTCTCTTAGAACGCTCGATTAATTTTTCCGTCCTTTTTAATTATTATGGTATATCACTTAATAAAATGATTTGAGAAAATTAGTGTGATTTAATCGTGTGACATCCTCTTTTGAAGTGGAGGGGAGCACATGTCATTGACCCAATTCCTCGTGGCAGAATAGGACCTTGATTAAATAGGTTTGACCTAATCCCGATTTGCCCTAGTCCATTGAATATTTTTACTTGAGTATGAGACAAGATGTCCTACATTTATGTGAGATTTAATCTGTCACGTATGTATTAGAACAACCCATTGTTGTTTAGCAATAATTATTTCAGGAGTAATGTTATATAAAATTAAAAAATAAACTTAAAAAGTAAACTTGAAAATTACAATCATTAAAGTAGTAGTAGGTCTCAATAAAGGCTAAGATCTACAATAAAATCAATTATTGTAATTATCAAATCTGCTTTTTAAATTCATATAACATTACTCTTACTCTTATTTCACAAGTAGACCGTGAAAGCCAAAAATTACAGAATAAAAATTGTTTTTATAGGGAAAGTCTATCGTACTTAAAAAAAAAAAATTTAAATATCGTATTCAAAGTTATAATTTTTTTATGGTAAAATTATACATTTGAAAGAAAAAATTACAACTGCTCAAGAGAAGTTCATGATCAAAGTTATAATTTTTCTTTTATGAGTTGTAACTTTTGGAATTAATCTCAATCTTTTGTGATAGCTTATACTCTTTACAAGTTATAACTTATACTTCAAAAAAATTATAATGTAGTCTTACAAAACTATTACTTTCAATATCGTACCACAGAGGTACCGTAGCTCTTCCCATTTTGATATAGGAATGCCATTTTTCTAGTTGGGTCAAAATACGGTGTTCAAAAATAATTTTTCACTGCTGTACCTCATATTTTTTACTAATAAAAGTACGACACGTGTGAAGTGTTGTATATTTTATTATTTTACTTTATTTTATCAATGACAAGATTAATGGTTAGGATTAATTTTTTGGTACGATACCTACATTTGTTTTTTATGGGTACAGTAGTGTGGTCCCATTTTCTAATATTAAGCAAGAATTCCACAGCTGGAAAGTTGGTTTCATGCCGGAAGCTTTTGATGCATGCATGGGATGATTCAATTTAAGGTTGGATTTTTGTTAAAGCTGTTTGCCTTTGGACATGCACAATTACAAGTAGAGAAGCTGCGAGGAAGTTTCATGTCTGCCTTCTTAACAACACCCCCCGAGCCCCCCCCCCCCCCCCCCCCCACACACACACAAAAAAAAACCAAAACTGAAAAACCTTTCATGTTTTGTTCATGAACTACGGAAAATAGGGGAAAGAAACAACTCTACCTGCTTGATAACACCACTTAAAATTTAAAATTAAATTAAATACTTTAAATATTTAATGAATTAAATATACTTGATGACTCAAAACTTATACCGTTTAATGTTTTAAGCACTTTTTAAACATATATTGAAATTTTAAGTAACAAACTACATGTTTATCGTTTAATATTGAAAATTTTAGGCAATAAATTTTTTTTAAATTCCTCGTAATGGACAAATACATCTTCAATGCATTTTACATTCTTTCACTTTTCAATACTCATCATCCACCACCACCGTTAATATTTACAACAACCACCACTATCACTACAACTATTGTGCCATTACCACTACTAACGTTACCATCACTATTGTGTCGTCGTCACTACTATTGTGTCACCTCCATTGCCACCACCATGTGTTGTTGCTACCACCATTATTGTATTGCTACAGCCACAACTATCATTGTGTTACTGTCACCTCCACCATTATGTCACTACCATTACCACCACCTAAATCATTATTGTCGTTGTCACCATCACTACCATTGTGTCATTGCCACCACTATGCCACCACACCACCAACAACATCATCACTACCATTGTGTTGTCGTCACCACCATCACCACCTCCACCACTGTCGTGTTGTCGCCACCACCATTGTGTTGCCGCTACCACCAGTATTGTGATGGTGGTGATTAGAATAAGATAGTTGCGGAGAGATGATTAAAAAAAGAGATAAAAATTAAAATAATAATAATTTTCAAATTTTACCTCGTTATATTTGTCAAACAACTTGATTCAATTAAACACTTAAATTTCAGTTAATACTAACCAGTCTATAAATTAAAAAATTCAGCATTCAACACTTAAAATTTAACATTCAGTTTTGAGTTTTATCAAACACTACCTAAGCTTGTCATGAATGTTCGTATCTAATTTGAATTCGACTCTATCAGTCATATATTGAAATTATTTATCAACTAATTGGATTAGATGTGTATAACATTACCTTCGACTCTTTTAGTCAAATGAATCTGTTCTTAATTATTATTTCTCTTCGTTGACAATTAGATTGGACAAATATAGTAATCCTATTACGGCATTTTGCTAGTCATTACAAATTCGACCACACAAAAGAAAACAAAAACAATGGAATATATTGTGATTAAATCCAAAAAAAAAAAAATGGCTTTGGTGGATATTTTGTAACTTCATTTTTCTATTAAAAAAATTATCTGAGTATAATCTAAGTTCAGATTTGATTCTATTAGATCTAAATATAGATTAGTTATGTTATATTTTGTATAGTTGGAGTTAAATATATAAATATTCATTTTAATTAAAAAATAAAATTTTATTTTAATGCACTGCTTCGGTTATCTAAGAAACGAAAATGTTTTGGAAACATATAAAAACAAATAAAGATTTGAGAGTTTATTTTTATAACATTTTAAAAAATTTGTCAAAGTACACCAAAAAACCTTGAAATACTTACGAAAGACTTCAAAATTTTATAATTTTAATTTCATCAGTAATTTATTTCAATCTCTTTAAAAATAAAAATATTCTAACCATTTCAAAACAAAATTATAATTTCGTGTGAATTCTAATAAGACGAAATTCAATGAATGGGATGGGATGGGATGGGATGATGCATATCAAGATGTAAATTACAATCAACAAGCACAAGCAGTGTGGAAATTGAAAACTACTCTGACCTTCATTTTCAATCACGTGATAACATTTCATAATTGCGTATGAAATCACATGAAAGAATTCAGTAATTGCAGGCTGATTAAAATTAGAGACTAAATAAAGAGTTTAAATGACATGACAGTTGTTGATATGATAAGAATAACTTTCATGTTAGCAAAATTTTTTCGCCTTTAAATCAAGGACAAATGAGACAAAATCTTTTCGTCTCATACGCTTCCCTAACACGAACAGAAAAAAGAAATGAAGGACAGATGGTGCAAAATTTTTTCGTTTTCTCTGTTTCCCTAACACATACTGAAAAAAAAATGACATGATAGTTAATCTTGTCATACTAGTAACTTCCATATCATTTGAACTCTTTATTTGATCTTTAATTTTGAACGGCATAACCGAAAAAAATTTGATTAACCCGGAAGCAAGAAACGAACATTCAATTCAGAGATTCTTCAACCCCACCTCCACCCAAATCCGACCCGGCCCACATCGCTTGCCCTTATCTAGTGGTATCTTATCTATAAAATGGAAGCCTTCTCACCAGAGCTTCCATCCCAAAGCATCAACCCATTTCTAAAGATTACACCTTTTTAAGTATTTTATTTTGCTTTCAAGTTTCATACGCCAAGTTCGAATTTGTTCCTAATACAACCAAGAACAAGAAGAGAGAGCAGAGAGAGAATGGGGAAAGACAGGAAGGTTGGGGTGGCAATGGATTTCTCGAAGAGCAGCAAGACGGCTCTGCAATGGGCTATTGACAACTTGGGTGAAAAAGGTGATACCTTCTACATCATCCACATCAAGTCTCATGCATCCGATGAGGCTCGCAATCAACTCTGGTCCAAATCTGGTTCACGTAAGTCCCTGATTCATTATCATCGTCATTTTTATAGATCATTTCATACCCATGATACTGATCCAACCTTTCTTCGTCTGATCTTGATGATTTTGATCTGATCTGACTGAAATTGATCTGAGTTTTTTGTTTTGTAGCTCTCATTCCTCTGGTGGAGTTTCGTGAACCAGAGGTGATGAACAAGTACGAAGTGAAGATTGATATTGAAGTTCTTGACACGCTTGACACTGCTTCCAGGCAAAAAGAGGTTAGGGCATTTAGATTTAGTTTTATGTTCTGTTTTTTTTTTTTAAATGTTGGGGTTTTCAAGTTTCATACGGATAATTATTTGTTTGTAATTGGGTGAGTGATTTTAAGAAATAAATGTTTTTTTTTTGTTTTTTGTAGATAATCTTTGTTACGAAACTGTATTGGGGAGACGCAAGAGAGAAGCTGTGTGAAGCTATTGAAGAGCTGAAGCTGGATTCATTGGTCATGGGAAGCAGGGGACTTAGCACCATCAAAAGGTACTTCTTTTATTCTGATTTTTTTTCATTTCTCTATATCGACCATGATCTGATCTTTCACAAATCACAATATATAGTGGTAGTCTCTCTCTCTCTCAAAGTTAACATGGGATGTGTTTTGTTTTGGGGGTTGGTGGTGATGACACAGGATAATCTTGGGAAGCGTGACCAACTACGTGATGGCAAATGCTGCTTGCCCTGTGACCATCGTCAAAGATCCAGATTTCCACAAGCCCTGAACAAGATTTTCAAATGATATCAAATAAGAACTTGCATGTTCTTTCCTGCTTTTTGTTCGGTGTTTTGGTTTGAAAGTTTATGCACTTGACTTGATTAAGTTTTTATACAAGAGAAAAGTTGATGATATGTGATATTTTAAACACTAAATATTTGGAAATAATAAATATGTTTCGGTGTGGATGCCCCCCTCCCCGCCGCTTCTTTCCCCTGTGGAGGAGCTACTTTGTTCCAGTCACTAGGCCGAATATTATAAGTGCCCTTTTAGCGCAATAAGGGGATTTGTTCTGTCGTCCCGGATTCATTCCTCCATTTAATAGTAGGAGAAGATATTTAGGATTTTTTTCTCCAGAGCTAGAGTAAGAGAGAATGTCAATAGATGATAAGATCTTCTACAGTTACTTTTTTTTTAAGTCGGCTCTTTATTTTATCTTTTATGGGATTGTGTTTAAAAATAGTTAGTGACTATGTTATTCATTCGGCCAACGAATTTTGATCGGACTAGAAGATAGGGTTTCGAAGTGGGAACACTGTGGACTATGACGGGTATCTCTTTTTAAAAATTTTAATGTTTTATGCATGTCTAAGTCAAATGTACTTGTCGGTCTAGAGACTTGTTCTTGAAATATTTGGCCATTAATTAATTAATTAATAATTTCACAAGACAGGTGTCAATAAAATAATCTTTATCGTTTCGCTAATGCTGTTGTTTCCATCTTTTTTAATCAATTCTTTTATCTGTGTGATTGTATTTTTAAAACCATGCTTTGCCCATGATGGTGACAGTCAAAATGTCATGTTCAAATGCTAGCAGGTGGGTGGAAGTCGGGGATGAAGCTATTTTCCGGAAGAAAACTTTTCAACTTCAATAAATAAATAAAAAACTGCCCAAAACAGAGACACGACTTCATAAAAACAATTGTAATTTAATAAATTAGTGTGAAACAATGTTATTGTAGTAAAATTACCTATGTGGTCATACTTAGTATGTCTTATACAGGGTGTGTTTAGCTTCATTGTAATATTTTAATTTTTCGGTTTAATAAAATTATTTATTTTTTGGAAAAAAAATTAAAAAAAAGGGTAAATGGGTTAAAAAAAAAACTCATGATACATGAGTGGCATTGATCCAGCTTTCCACTGAAATTAGTTGAAGGGTTTGCCCGTGTTTATTTGTTCATTTTAGGAGAAACCCTTACATAATTGCTCTAGCTTATTGATGACTAGTAATTGCTCGTGCCTGAAGGCACGGTGTTACTCACAAATTAATAATTTAAATATCTGAAAAATTATGCTACAAAAACTATGTTATAACCACCGAAACATAATAATTCAAATATATGAAAAAATATATCAGTTGACAATATTTAATATTATGTTTTTGATTCAAAATCTACGATTTTTATATTCATAATCAACTTTATCTGAATAATATCAAAATTCATAACTAATAGAATGAAAATTAAAACAATACTCCAACAAAAAAACTAAGTTTGCAGATATTGTCAAATGACCAAATATAACTATCAGAAATTCAATCGACTTCCAAAAGACACTACCTGAAAAAAAAAAAAAAAGAGATTACAGTTAGGTGTTTATTTATTCTCTAAAAACATACATTTTTTCTTTTATCCATATTCAAATAATAAAACATAGAGAAATAATGTTTACCTATAAAATATTGATTCATCTGTGGAGGTCTTGTTCATAGTAGGTTCAGTTGAGCCTCCACGTCTTCTAACGCTCGTGAACAGAGTATGTCATCTTCGATATTTGCCAATGTCTCCTCCAATTCTATCATATCTATGAAGCCATTTTCAAACTTCTTATTGATTTCGTCAATTGCCACGTAGATGGAAGCGTGTTAACAACAGCATATAACATAATTGGATTATTCGGCATAAAACCTTCTTGTTGCAGTTTATAAAATAACTGTTCTTTCTTTTTTATATGATCTAGAACATTCGTCTCTGGACCCATTTTTTCTTGCTCAAACTGTATCCATAATGGATGGATATCGCGTTCCACTTCCACTAATAATTGTACAAACCGTACTGCATTGGTTGGTTTGTCGTCTAAAAATATTTTTTCCGTTGTAGAATTCCAAGTTATGGGAAGAGTCTCTATTATTTTATGCATAATATAATTATCACTTATATTTTTCCCTGCCATTTGTAACATACGACATAGTTCAACCTTTTTCATCCCAAACTTCGAGATTGGGGTTCCATCTTCAAACGATTCATTTTCAAATTTTTCTTGTATGCCTGATAGAGCTACACGCGTACTACGACGTACAAATATTGGAGGTCGTTCCATTATATCTGTACATAATATAAAAGATACAAATTAAAATTGTATTAATCACATTAGCAATGGAGTAATAAACATTACAACAAACAAAATAATATTTTTTCACCCATGTGATTTAATAAAAATAATAACAATCCAACATAAAAAATTGGAATAATTATTAGGAATGCGAAATTACAATAAATCAAGACACCAACAAAATATACCAAACCATATATGAAATTCATAGAATAATTATTCAAATCACCATCATATCATAATACTGTCACCACAGACATAATAGTAGTAATTACAATCATGCAAGTAATTAAGTATCAAGTTTATATTAAAAATTCTAGAATCAAACATATGATCTATCTTCACGGAGATATAGTTAATAGATTAGCCTTCCAGTTGGTCTTTAAACTTTCTCTTCATCACTTTCCTGAATGTTATTGTGTCAATACATATCCGAAATTGCAAGTTTGGAGAATGCACAACAACCTAGTTTTACAGAAAGAAAGAAAACCAAACTTTAGTGATATATATTAGTTATAAAAGAATAAATCTCGTTTCAACAGTATTAGAATCGGATTACCTTATTACGATATCCCCATCGGTGAAGTTGCGTTGTATTTATTCTTTTCATCGCTTTAGCCAATTCCCACCAATCCTACAAATATGAATTATAATGTAAAGTTAACGTGATTATTTTAATTCAATATGTATTCAATAGGAGCAATACGTAAATAAATTGTACTATTTTTTTGCTATTGAATAGGAAGTTCTATAATAGAACTTCAGGGTAAACGATGTTTGATGTGCAATTCGATTCATTTTCAGGAAGAAGAACACATATACGATCAGAAGATGTGCATCTGGATAATGCCACATACAGATGTTCATGGCTAAACACCGGTGTGCGCAGATCAACCCCAACGAATTTTACAGACTGTCCTTGAGATTTATTGATTGTCATAGCATATGTTAATCGAATAGGAAATTGACGTCTCGTCATCTGAAAAGGCAATTTTGAAGATGTTGGTGACAGAGATATTCTTGGAATGAAGACCAAATTGCCAGATTTATCACCATTTAAAATTTGAGCTTCAATCACACGCATGACACATCTGACAAACATCAATCGCGTGCCATTACAAAGCCCTTCCTTCGGCGCTATATTTCTCAGCAACATTATTGGGCTACCCACCTTCAAATCTAATTTAAACGGCGGTAACCCAGCAGGGTTTAGAGAGTTTAAATACTCATTAGGATATCGATTAGTGATCGATCGATCAAGTTCATCACCCTCTGCCATTTTGTCAGCTGCTAAATACGTAATTATCTGTCCCGGTGAAATATTCATTGCTGCAGCATTTATAGCATTCACATCGTCATTCCTTGCAGAAAGAATTGTGCGTTCGGTTAGGAAGTCCGGGGTAACTGAACCAACCATATCCAAATGTGGATAAATTCTAAATATTAATTCTCGAAGAGTATGACACTTTTGTATTATTGATGGAAGTTGTACAATTTCTTGTGGGTTTGTTCCTACCTAAAAATTAGAAGTGAAATTAGAGAAGATAAATTGATAATAATTGCAAAAAATAATATTTTATATACTGAATGATCAATGGAATATTACCTCCATCAAGAATTTTGCAAATTCAACATTTTCAGAATTTGTGTTAGTTAAGCGCATGTTTAACCTCAAAGTCAAAACTTGTACATCCCTCCACAATACAGATCGCCTCAATGACGCACCTATAATTTGCTCGCGGACTCCTTTCGGTATAACTGTCAAGATTTGTCGAAAGTCTCCACCTAGAACAACAGTAATACCCCCGAATGGCTTTTGGTTATCACAAACATCTTGAAGTGTACGATTTACTGCCTCAACACAATACCTATGTTGCATAGGTACTTCATCCCATATTATTAGTTTAGTCGATCTGAATAATTCTGCATGCATCGATTGTTTGGTAAACCCACAAATTGAATTTTCAAGCACATCCAAGGGAATGCAAAATGTTGAATGTGCTGTGCGGCCCCCCATTAGTAATAAAGATGCAATACCGGAAGAAGCCACAGTAACGACGATATATCCAAAGCTGCACAATTTTTTAGCAACTGTATTATACACAAACGTTTTTCCCGTGCCGGCGCCCCCACTCAAGAAAAAAGTAGTTCTTTTATTTTCAATTACTGATGAAGTAATTGCAGTATAAGCAGCATGTTGTGCATCATTGAGGCGATCGACATCATTTTGTGCATCCAACTGTTCAGCTTCATGATGGAGTTGTTGATGTTCAAACAATATTCTGTTACCAACTATTGGATTCCAATTCCCAATTGGTTGTGGCATGGGTGAAAAGTCGACTAAACTTTTGCCCGACTCATGGAGCAACTGGTCTAATAAATATATACCATAATCTTCAATTTGATCCTGAGAAGGATTAGAAATGCCAAACATTGTACAAATCTTGTGCTCTAGGTCATCACATATATGCATTGAAAATTGATTCCATAAATCAAGTGGATCCAACGGAGAGCATTCCGTGAGAATAATACTAAATAGTCTCCTCAACTGATGTCCGGTTTTCATAGATGAAGCTTCTTGCATACATTGTACCCATTCTCCGTCATCTTCCAGAAGTCCCCTTGCAACGCATGCTGATTTGAAAGTGTTGTACATAACATCATTTACCAT